GTCAGCGACACTTTCCCCTCTTGCTCCCGTCATAATTACTACGACCACTAGATGTCACCTAGCAACAAAACGTAACTATGGGTCATAACGACCTGCCGCACAGACGACCTGTGGGCTCGTCTCGTTTTCACGCTTGATTGAAAACAAGCTTCAAGCGGCATTCCTCCATCAAACGGTGAGCAACAACACCTCGTCCTCTCTTGTCTGAGAGATTCAAAGACTCATGATTCAGCCGGAGGGAAACCTCGTCATCGTCCTCGTCAGGATCCTTCTCCCCGTTATCAGCAGACGCAGCTTCACCCTCCACTCTGGTTTAAAATACAAGAGGACACATCCGTCATCTGGATTCTTTTCCGCTTGATATCCCTTCAGCTCTGGCCGTCTGCTCTCAACCAACCACGCACAGATAACCGGCGCGTCGAGGGCCGGGCCGGTCGCGGCGGCCGTGTCCGTGCTCGATGCAGAGAGGCTGAAAGTCTGAGTAACAAGCTGCACGGTGACAGGATCGCTGTGGATGTGTGAGTGAGCGAGGCAGAGATAAGGCCTGTTCACAGGGGACGTGTATTATGTGAGGATGTCGTGTAATTAATGAATAAAGCTCTGCAGCTTTGTGTTTCATGAGGAAACACCTTCCTGACCGACTCCACTGCTGCTGCACCGACGACGAGGCAGGAAATGAAGAAGAAGCAGAAAGTAAGAAGAGCCTGAAGTTAATTAATTCAGCAGGTAATTATTATCACTTTTATCAGTGGGTTTCCCCAAATTACAGGAGACAATTTACAATTTACACTAGAGAACCTACTGATGACTTCCGATATAACTGATTGACTGTTTAGTCTGTAAACGAGAGAAATGTTCATTACAGTTCATAAAAATATTCAGTTCATTGTAGTAAAAAATAGCAGCAAATCTTCAAGTTTAAGAACCACAAACTGTTTGGTATTTTTTGCTTAAAAATGACCTACACGATTGATCTGCTAATCATCAATATGGCTGCCAATTAATAGTTGAATTTATTAACTGTTTCAGCTTTAATGCAGTTTGTCTGTCAGCTTTTATCCGTTCACAAGAGCCAAAGAAAGTTGGTGTAAAACTGAGTGAAGAAATAAATGATTCGCTTTTTGTCACAAATCCACAAATTATTTTAAAGATTTCTTATTTTATTTTGGAATATTTTCCTATTTTTGCTGCAACGAGCGTTTGCTTTGACTATTTATCAGTCTTCTCGATTATATTAAATTCATGATTGATTCCTTTTTATTGTTCAGTGCAAAAGTCCCAAAAACAAAAATGTTGAATTTATTATCAAAGGAGACAAAGAAAACCTCAAATATTCACATCTGAGGAGCTTAAAAAATTACTTTAAAAACTGCATCAGTTGTTAAAATTGTTGTCTGTCTGATTCACTTCATTCATTCTTGTGGCCATATTTCTGTTTCTCTGTAGTGATTCTTTACCCGCCTACAAAGCTCTGATTGGTCCGAACCAGGAGAAGAAAACACCAGACCTGTCTGAGTCACTGATCAAATCATGACATGGACGATTTAACCCCGAGGTTCCTCATGTCACTGACGTCGATCTGTGTGTGACGCAGATTAAAATTTTTAAAAATATTTTTATCACTAAAACAACAGAGCCATCGGCTCCCAGAGAAACGTGGATACAGTAGATGGACAGATTAGCACAGAGAGGGGTGGGGGGTGTTTGGGGAGGTGTCCCGTGTTGTTTGGGGTCAGCGGTGTTTGGGAAGTCTCGGTCTTTGTTCAAATCTCATCAAGTGTAAAAAACGGGGGCAGGCCTGAGGCCCCCTGCATCATCTCTCCGCTCCACCAGGTCATCCGGCAGAACAACCGAACACCACTAAAGGACACATTAACCTTTAGCTTGATTGTTGACAGTTCTCACTCACACGAACAGGGCGACAAACCAGGATTATGATGATGCCAGGCCGCTATTCACACTTTTACAGTTTGGAGAAGTCCGCAGAGACGTGCGAGTGGAAAAAGCATCATTTCCTGCAGAGATCAACAACTTAACAAGCAACAGTGATGTTTTCTTTTTATTTATATATACAGTATATCCCTGGAGAACTCAGTGTCAGAGTGTTAGGACACAAACACGCCCGGCAACAGTGATGGAAATCAGGACTTTATCATTCTGTCTCAGACAAACTCTCATATGTTTACATGTGATAGACATTATTAGACTGTAATCAACTCAACGAGACCAGGTCAGAACCTAGTACATGTCTGGACCGTGGTGTATTTGCATTCTGCCTGCTTGTTCACGCCAAATAACACTCAGCTAACCAATGGTGTAACTTCATCACTCAGTCAGTCAGTCAGCAACAATTCTATTAAATACAAAATAGCTTTCTGTATAGAGAAATGTTTATATTCCTCAATAAAAAAGTTTTTTGTATCATTACCTACACTATGTTATAAATGGACACTGGTATTAAAAACCTTTTAAAAACTAGCGTAGGCCGGACGGTTAAGTCCCTAGTTCTGCCTTTATTTGATCCAATGGTCCCTAAATATATTTGTTTGAACTTAAATGTGGTATAAAGCACTCACATGTACATTTATTTCATTCCCATTTTCAATCCCTAGATTTCATGAAGTGCACCCACAAAGAGCCAAAGAAAGTTGAGCGAAGAAATAAATGATTCACTTTTTGTCACAGATCCACAAACTATTTTTTATTTTTGAATATTTGTCCTATTTTTCCATCAACATCAGCACTAGACTGATCAACTTTTTTTTTTGTTTAGGGCTGCAACTAACAGTTATTCACATCTGAGCAGCTGGTATCGTTCAACTTTGGACATTTTTAATTAAAAAATAACTTAAAATGCATCACTTGTTGAAATCGAAATGAATTTCAACTTCATTAACTTCATTCTCGGGGCCATATTTCTGTTTCTCAATAGTGAGTCTTAATCCCGCCTACAAAGCTCTGATTGGTCCGAATCAGGAGAGGAAAAAAAAACATCAATAAACACAACACCAGACCTGTTCTGACCTCATTTAGACTAATGACCAGCAACAGATGGCACAGGTTCACGTTTCATACTTAAGATGGTGACTGAGTGTTTGGCTGCAAACAGCTCAAAACAGGATCTGTAATCTGAGCCGAATCACTGCACAACCTCCGGTGACGTCGTAACTGGAGGTCACACTCATCAGTCAGCTGATTAATCACAGCACTTTAAACAAATATATATTTTTAGATATTTGCTTTTTGGTTAAATAAGAGGATTTTTAAGGCGGAAACGCGTTGACCAAACGCTCTCTGCTTCAGTAGTGACTGCTGACTCGTCTCGATCGAGGACAACAGGTTACACTTTAACTTGAAACTCAAACATGACCTCTTCTAAAGGCTCTTACCCGCTTCATTAACTCCTAAAACTGCAACAGCTTCTTAAACTGAATCAATAATAAATTCTTTCCCCTTTTAAATGTCGGTCACACACGAACAAGAAGAGACGCTGGCAGCAACACCAAACCAACCAACACCAAACAGTCCAATAAAATTCGCATGATTACTCTTTCCTTTTCTCTGACATCACTTTAATTCACCAATAACATTCCTGTGACGCGTTCACATGCTGGTGGGAAAGTCCAGCGTCCGGGAATTCCTGGTTGGCAGCGACGCAGCATTCATGTGCAGCCAAAGATAAACTGATTAAGTCCATAATTTGGTTATTTATCAAACAATATTACGGTTGACTTCAAACACAAACCAATGACCTAGATGACTGAGGACATTCAGACGTCTTGCTGAGCGTTTTGGGGATGAAGACCCTCAGAGAGAAGAGGTCTTCAAGTATCTACAACCACGTCCAGTCGCCCTCGATTCAACTGTTTCTTGGACAAGCTAAAAAGTACACGCTGTGTTTTTGTACGAATGTGCGCACAATTAAATCATCAGTTGCAACGAAAGCATTTATCAAAAACAAGAAGTCAAAAATTTCCACTGAAAAATAAATGGGTTTCCACGTGTTGAGGACGTGTTGGCCATTTTAAAATCTTGTTTCATTTCACTTTAACATGAAATATTCACCATTTCCATGTGAGCAAAGGCCACAATGAGTGATGATGGACACCCCCCCCCCTCCCTGCACCCCCTTCCCCCTCCTCTCCCTCCCTCCCCAACCCCCCACCCCCCCCACCCCCGGCCTCGCCCCTCTCCTCTCCGCCCTCGTTTAGGGGGATGCAGGGGCTCATCAGTATCTCTGGACCAGGCCCCGGTTTCATCTGCTGAAGCCTCTCTCACGCGCTCTCTCGCCAAAAACACCGCTGCATCGCATCAATGCGTTAAGGAAAATTAAAAAAAGGTTGAAATTGCTTCCAGCTGGCGGAGAGAGAAACCGGGTCCCGGCTCAGAGCGCGGAGGAGAAACTGAGAGGAAACAAAGCTTTCCGCTTGCACAATTATTTGTCCAGTGCGCACATTGCTCCTGACTCTGCAGTGCAGTTCACTTCAGGCTCCAACACCCACAGACCTGCTGCTTTCTGCTCTCTACCCCCCCACCCCCCCACCCCCCCTACAACCTCAACTCTCCGACTTTTCACCCGCCGCACAGCTTCCTCCAGCTCGGAGCTTCTTAATGCGCTTAATTAAGAAAAGGTAAAGCTGCGCGGTGGATTTCAGCTGCAGATAAAACAAGTCTCTCTTGACAGTGTGTGTGTGTGTGTGTGTGTGTGTGTGTGTGTGTGTAGCATTGGTGAATCTGGATGTGGAGTATATCTGTAGTTTAACACCAGCCCGTTGTGAGGATGGTGATGATGATGCACGGTGCGCCCCTGTCCTGTCCTGCGCCGCGCCGCGCCGCGCCGCGCTGCGCATCCTCCGGCGTGTGCACCAACCCGGACAACAAAACCCCGAGAGAAAGGCAGGAGAGGAGCAACGCAGCGAAACATGGAGAAAGAGGAGATGGAGCGACAGAGGGAGGAGGGAGGAAGGGAAGGGACGGTCGGGCCGGCCCGCAGGACTCACCAGTCGGTGTCCGAGGTCTCGTCAATGACGTCCTGGTAGGCGGTCAGCAGGGCCAGTCTGTTCTTGCCGAGATTCACAGCCATGTTTCTGTCCCTGCAAGCATCCAGACCGCTGCTGATGGAGAGAGACACGGAATGAGACTACAGAGAGGACGGAGAGGAGGAGGAGGAGGAGGAGGAGGAGGAGGAGGAGGCTCTGACTGGTGGAGACAAAGAGAAGATCACGGTGCCCGAGGGGTCCTAGCGCCGAAATATTACTGACTAACCAGTCTGATGGGTCCTAGTGCCCAGGAGTGAACTTTTATAACTGTACATTAGCTGCTGTGAAGACACAATAGAAGCTGTACCACTGCTCAGGACGGAACATTTCATTATCTAACGGATAAATAAGTGATTCAAGTAATAAAGAAAAGCATTTATGGGGGAGGTAATTCATTTTATGTGGCTGTAATTTCCTAATAAATTCCAAGGAAGATTCCCAGAAAGAATGATCCAATTTCATGCCGAGAAAAAAAGAGTTAATTTTCAATAAGCTGCAACTAATTGTTAAATGATTATCGATTAATCTGCCAACTGTTGAAAAATGTCCTTTTTCCTTAAGCCCTGTGATGTCTTCAGATGACTGATGTTGTCTTAACAACATAGTTCAGTGGTTATATCCCTCCGCCACTCAGACTAGTTCCAGGTTACATCCCTGTTTATCCAGAATCATACAAAATATTAACCAGTAGTGTGAAATTTAGCAAATAATTGCTGTGTGAAGTCTTGAAAAATGGCTAAAAAGTGTTTTGTGAGGTCACACTGAACTTGACCATTGAACTTTGACCTTAAGCCACCAAAGTCTAATCAGATTGTCCTTGAGTCCAGGTGAACGTTTGTGCCAAATTTGAAGGGATTCCCTAAAGGCTTTACAGAGTTATCGCGTTCACAAGGCCAAAACCGCCTTTTGTGAGGTCACCACAACCTTGACCCTTGACCTTTGACCACCAAAATCTAATCAGTTTATCCCTAGTGAATGTTTGTGCCAAATTTGTGCCAAAAAAGACATTCCATCAAGGCGTTATGGAAATATCGTGTCCACGCCAATGGGACAGACGGATAGAAAACAATATGTCTCTGGCTCTGACTGTCGCCGCTGCGGAGGAATACAAACCAAACATATTCAGTTTCTTATCACATTACACAAAAGAAAGAAGCAAATCCTCACATCTGAGAATCTGGAGCTACTTTTTACCAGCTGACACAGTTTTATGATATTTGTCTGCGATAGTTGCCAAGTGACCAGGACTGTGCAGCAGCATTAAAGACAGAATAAAAATGTCGCTAAAATACAGACATTTTGTTCAGACCCTGGGTCTTACATTTTCTCAGAAACACAAGAATCATTTCCTTTTATTGAACTTATTCTTGGAGCTGAAATGTACATTATTTAGAGAATTATTATTATTATTGTGTAACAGTGTGAGTCTGACAGACAACTGAGTAATGTGAGTTTACCTCTGATGCCCACACACTGTGGTAGGAGCACCGCAGCGACTTCATCATGTGGAAAATCATTTGATTTATTGTTGGATGCTGTAAAGAGGCACCGGGCGAATCAGCAGCAGCTAAACAAAAAAAAAAAAAAAAAAAAAAAACAGACTCTGTGCACCTGACTCAGCGTTTTACATTACCACAGTGTTTCATTAGTGAAGGAGCAAAGCAAACATTTTGTTGTATCATCAGCTGATATCACTTCTATTTGTATTATGTGTATTTCCTCAGAGCTGATCATATTTTTATTATTATCATTTTATCATTTATTTTCACAGGTTTTTGATGATCTTATTTGTCTGTAAGTGTCTCATGTTTGTTGTAATGGCAAATTTATTTCCTCATATATTTTTTTAATGGTTTTTACTTTAAAATTAAATACTGTGTGCACCCATGTCTGTAGATGTATTCAAATCATATTCTGAATTAGAAATATCACTCACAAAACACTTCATTACAAGTAAAGTCCTGCATTCAGGATTTGGTAATGCTTTGTTTTACAGGAGCAACAGTTTCCAGTAATTTCCCTGACATTAACTGATGTATAACTATGAACTGATTTGAATTTCATTGATTCCAATTACTTACTAGTGTAACCAGAAGATGTTTTACATTGACATTTGTCTAGAGGGAAGCATACAGTTCAACACATGTGGAAAATAAAATATCCAGTATAGAATGAATATTTACTTTGATTTAAATGGAGCATTTCTTCCAAAAAAAAAAAATCAGTGACTGTTTATAAACTTTTACAATTAAAGCTACAAACTTTGTCTCTATTTTCCCTGAAAGGTAGATGTAGAAGTACTTGGTTACCTTCCATGAAGTCCTGTTGTCGGTCCATTCGTCCATTGTTTATATTCCTTTAGTCCGTGCGGGTCCACAGATCACAGGAGTCAGAAGTGCTTTTTCATAAAAGTATTCCGAGTTATGAATATCATCAAGAGAAGTCCGTTGATGACTATGGACCAACTTTATTCGCACCACTTCTCCCCGCATTTCAAACAATTTCCCTCCTTCCTGCTTCCGGTCAGCGGGTCCGATCGTGTCCGGTAGCTTTCTAGCTACAATATGGAGGTCTCCATGTGAAGATCCGTTCCGGTTGCACTGCAGGAGGCACCGGCGATGACGGCGAGCGTAACCGAGCGATCACATGAGATGACGCAATTCTTTCAGTCGGAGAAAACGCTGCTATTGGTTGTTGCCCCTGTCAATCATTTTAGCTCGAAGACAGGCGCCTGCCTTGTCCAATGAGGGGAGACGAAAGGGGGGGGGGCAATTCTGAGCCAATGAGAGGTGTGAAAACAGCCGCGGATTTGTAGGCGGAAGTGCACGGGACAGAGAAGGATCAGCACGGTTTTAAATGATTTTAAAAGCATCAAAACACTTCAGTATGTTTTCTGTTATTTACATATATATTATTTAAATATTTAAAGAGTTAAAGCACATTTCACACAGGAGTTTTTAACAAGATGTAGAGGGAACATGATGATTTATTCATTGTTCTTGTATAAACTATATCCTAATTATGGTTATCAAATATGACTTTTTTCAGGTGAGGACAAAAACATACAGAAAAATACCACATAAGTTCGGTTTTATTTTCACAATCAAGAAAGATGTTACCTTTTCAAATGATGTCTCTGATGCATTTTGGCCTTACAGTTCTTTTGTTATAAGACTTTTCATTTGCACATGCAAATGTATGCAAATCGGGTTAAAAAAAAAAGTAAACTGTATCATAAAGCATCTTTCAGGCAGGAGATGACATAAAAAACAAGGAGAATTAAGTTTACAATACAACCCACGAAAAGTTATAAAAGCAAGAAAAAGTCTAAACAGACTTTTAGTTTTAAAGATGTAGACTGATTTGGCTTCTGAACATTTTTCATTTCTGTTTTGTTTGTCAGAAAAGGAGCCGTCAACTCTTCTGTTGAATCAAGTCACTTCTGCTTTCAGTGAAAATTTGGACACAGAAATACCCTTGACTCATTTCCTCTTTTTAAAAGTAGTGGACGTTACAGAACTTCAACAACTCCAACAGAAAATCCTAATATGTGTGTAGATTGATCAGATTATTGCACTGCTCTTTTTTACTGCTCTTTCAAAGCAGTTAATTGAAAGGCTCCAGTTAAAAGGTTTAAAGGGTCAGTTCACAGTTAGTTTTACACCCTGAGATATTATTTAAATAAACAACGGTTGTGTTACCTGGACATTAGGCTTGGGCTTATATGCGCTAATATCAAATATGTTTTCTCACCATAAATCTGTTTTTATCTGTCTACCCTGCTGCCAATATTGTCATATATCATGATATTTGGACTGGGCTGCATTGATATATTAAATTTATGAATAGCAATGAATAGTATCCTTATAACACATCCAGTTTTTTCTGTCGTGATGCAAAAACCTCTGAAAATGATCTTTTACAAAACTGGAAGTTGATTTGTTCATTTTAAATTCAAGGTTTATTATATCGATTCAAGGAATAAACACAAATCTGATCTGAAAGCTCTTTGTAAGGTTTTTGTGAACTGCACAAGCAAAACACTGAAAAAGGTTCTTTATTCTCATTTCCAGGAAAAGTTGACATTTAGGAGCCCCCCCCCCCCCCCCCCCCCCCCCCCTTGTCTGGCAGCGGTGGTCGGTTGCCGTGGTAACCTGCCTGCCTCGGAGTTGAACCCCACACGGGTAGCCTCGCTGTTTTTCTCCCATGCAGGCCCGGCTGGCGCTGAGCCCACATACCTTCCCTCTGCTCTCAGAGCTCGGCGCTGAGGCCAGAGGATAATGGAGGAGGGGCGGTGATGCTGGTGGGCGCTTTAATTGGCACAAACAGCGACGTAGCACAAGGTGAACCTGCTGCAACTCACTTTGTCCACCGTTCAGTCTGCATAATTTATCTTCCTCTACCGGGCTGCATTCACTGCGCCACCGCTTCCTCGTTTCAGCCAAACACTATTTCATTCATTTATTTATTTATTTATTTATGTATTTGCATGTGAAATACGTTGCTCTAATAAACCAGTGGATAATCTGGAACAAGGCTTCACATATAAACAGGTCTACAGCACCGGAGTTGAGTGTTTTCTCGCTAAAGTAAATAAAAAGCTTTCACACCAGAAGCACATGAGTGTATATTTTCTGTCCTCACAGTATAAGTGCATCATAGAATCATGAATAATTGCCAATATTTTGTTCACCAGGCTCTCAGAGGAAAGAAACACTTCGATTCCTACGTTCAAAATGACCCAAGCAGAGAGTAATAGAAGCCATTTTCATCATAATATCATTCTGTTCAGTGAACATGTCAGCATGCTAAGATTAAATAAACGTATTTATTTATATATTTACTAATGTACTTTGTGTGTTTTATTATGACCCTGATGAGGCTGAGACGTTGGTCTATAAATAAAGTTGTAGTTTATTCTGTTAGTCTGTTTCTCAAGAACCAAATTGCATTTCTTTCAGTCTAAACCAAAGTGACACGACCATCTATGAAGCTTTAATTCTTGACTTTTGCACTTTGATAACATTTGACAAACGCAATATTTATTTTTGGTCCCCATATGTTTGTATGTAATTTGATTCTCCTTTAACCCTAAC